CCAAGGATGCCAGCAAGCCACATCTTGCTTAACTGATTCAGAGAACAGGGGTTCTCTGTTCTCTTTCCTGTTCACCCTTTCCCTCAAACCCAGCACGCCTCACCTTCCCCTGCCCTTCTGGACACTTCTGCTCCCTTCCCGACAGCACGGACCCAAAGCTATCCCAGCATCCTGATAAATGCCGCATCCGCAACCCCGCAACGCCTGTCACGCAGGTAACCGCTGCAGCCGCCCAAACTCGGTCCGTGCAGCCTGAAAGCCAACAGGTTCCTGGGGGCCAGGAGGTGACACAAAGTGGCTCGTGCAGTTGGGCTGCTCGTGGGCACCTGGAAACACGGGAGGGACAAGGTTTGCTTTGCTCCAGCCTACGGCTGTCCCACTCGTGCTTGGGGTGGAGCATCCCTGGGCCAGCCTCCAGGACACGATACGGGAGATGCGCTGGGCGCTGCATCCTCGCTGCACTGCTGCTCGGTGGCGGTGCTCGGCGGTGCTGGCTTTTTTGTCCACAGGTCTGCAGACCAGGTTTTAACCACTTAAAATGAGCTGACTTAAGGACGCTGGAGAACAAGGTAGGAGCCTTTTTTGTTCCACTTTAAGGTGAGGCAGAGCACTGACAGGAGGAGGAATACCAGCACCCACTGTAATACACAGAGATGCCACATTTCCTGCGCCGCCCTTGAATCCCAGGGTGGCATTTAGCTCATCTGGGCCCCTCTGTTTTGCTGTCCTGCTCTGTGCCCTCCGTGCTGCTCTGCTGACCCTGCGTCTACCGTAGCAGATGACCCTTTACAGATGACCCTGCATTTGCTGTAACCACGTTGCTTAAGTACCAAATGGCAGTTTTCTCTTAGGGGAAACCAGAATTCTGCCCCAAATTTAACACCCCAAAGCCAACAGTACTGTGGCTATCTAAGCACGGGAAGCATTGGCCACAACATCTGGGGTGTGTCAGAATTGCTGCTCACGCACAGCTTTTTAAACCCGATTTTCATCGCTGAGCAGCACCACCTTGCACTCACGGTGACTGGTGCATCACAGCCCTGACCCGGTGCCCCCGCGCTGTGCCAGGGAGCGGCATCCACCCGCTCCCCATCCCATCCGCCCGCTCCCCGAGCTGCCTGCAGGCAGGAAAACAAACTCCAAACCTGAAAGCTCGGTCTAAAAAGCAACCAAGCAACCCGCAGCGAGGCTGCTGGGCAGCAGCCGCGTGTCGGAAGGGACGGGCAGGGGCTGGGGGCAGGATGCTGCAAGCCGGATGGGGACGGCGGCAGGAGAAAGGAGCAGTTTTCCGTCCACTGCTGCTGGCCATGCCTGGATTTAACCATGGTAGACAAGCGGGGAGGGTGACGTGGACCAGGTTGGACCCGCTGCAGCTGAACGCCAGCAGGAGAAGGGAACTGATCTTGACGCAGGCATCTGTAAGAAACCTTGCGGAGTCCGAGTTTATGCGAAACTTTAACCGTTATCGTTACAACCACGTAAAACACAGCATCAAATACTCTGGACAGTCTGTTTGGATCAGCATAAAAAGGAATGACAACTTCGTTTTTCCTCAAAAAACTTCCCTACAAAAAAGAACCACCAAAAAAAAAAACCAACCCAGACATAAAAATGTTTTCTTTTTAAAAAGATTACATTAGAAACAATGTAAACAAGAATAGCAATTAAAAAGAAAAGCAGATGGTGGCCGGGTTCTCCAAAGTGCACGGCTGAGAGCCCCTGACCTTGACCATCACTGCTGGAGCTGGTCCCCAGCACCAGTCCTCGTGGCTCCTGCCGACCGCCAG